TTTTGCTGTTGTAATTTTAGAGTTTTTTTTAATACTGGTAGCCAGATTTTGTTCATTTTCATGGTCTCTTCCTTTCTGTTGAAATTGTCCACATGCTTGTGGATTTCAATGGCTTCTCTGTGTAGTCTGACATGGTGTTGTTGAGTGGTCCAGCATTTCTGTGTTCTCAAATACTATGCTGTGTCCAGGTTGGTTCATCAGGTGCTCTGCTATGGCTGACTTCTCTAAAATTACAACAGCAAAACAGCAGAGAGGAAACAACCAGGCACATCTTAACACCTCTCAACAGGGGATTTTTCCAGGCTCAGCCAGGCCTTCAAATGCTAATGAAGGTGGTCAGTTGAAACATTCACACCTAGCTCCAGCAGAGAAGAGCTCTTTGCCCCACCCCAGCCATTCCACAGATATATAAACCCATTGTCATAATTCCAACAGACCTCACTGCCTCTGAGGATGCTTGCCATAGATGCAGGCGAAACGTCAGGAGAAATGCCTCTAGAACATGGCCATATAGCCCGAAAAAACCCACAAGAACCTAGTATATGAAACATCCACCGATTCTGTCTTTAGACCTGGGTCACAACTCAGAGATGTATATATAAATATTCCAAAATGTGAAAATATCCAAAATACATAACATAATACAGATATTGGCCCATGTTATGCATATACTAGACTCTTGTTATCTGCTGGGATTTGGTTAGTTAGATGTTCATTCATAACGTTTTTATGACACAGGAGGCAAAACGTTTTAATCCACCCTCGTATTATTATTATTATTATATAATGATGAAATTTTGTCTTTTACATAAAATGGCAAAATACATAGTGGCCTTTTTGGGGAAAATTATTAGTATTTTAATAATTGTAATAATAATTGCAGTATTAAAATTTTTAGTATTTAAATCAGGGGGCCACAAACTGTTGTTGTTGTTGTTGTTGTTGTTGTTGTTGTTGTTATTACTGGCCAGGCATGTAGCCGGGGGGGGGGGGGGGGGCTTGGGGGGGCTTCAGCCCCCCCCCCCCAAATTCTCATGGTGGTTTGCGAAAAGGCCTTACTGGTGCATTATTTAAACTGTTATGTTTATTCATATCATGATCTGATCACCATACTCAATATATCCCATATGCATGGGGGTATTGGGGTAATGATACAAAAGGTTTGCTAGGTAGACCCTCTTTCACTCAGACTCAGCCCCCCCCCCCGAAACTCAGCCCCCCGAAACCCCCCCTGAAAAAAATCTCAGCCCCCCCCGCCCGGAACGAAATCCTGGCTACGGGCCTGTATACCGGCTGTTAGGAATTGTGGGAGTTGCAGTCCAAAACACTGGAGGAAAGACTGAAGTTGGCCCAGGCCTGTCCTAAAGGCATCAGATCCCTTATTATCCTGGGTGCTAAGCAGAGTCAGCCCTGGTTAGTATTTGGATGGGAGACCACCGATTAATATGAAGCAGTTTTCACAGGAAGGAATTGATAAAACCACCTATTTAACCTCTATGAAATTAATGGGGTCTATATAAGCCAGCATGTGGTTTTGAAGGCACATAGAGAGCAAAAAGGATCCTAAAGATCCCCTCTGAACGTGGAAGCTAAGCAGGGCCAGCTCTGGCTAATCCTTGAATGTGAGGCCACCAACAAATCCCAACGGGTGTTGACTCCGTTTCAAAGCACAGCCACCTCCAAGCATTCCTTGGCTATAGAAACCTCAAGAAAATCCACGGGGCTGCTGTGAAGGCTGCAATTTTGCTTGGCATGCTAAATGCTAAGCTAATGGGAGGATGTTTATGAAGAAATCCACCCACTGCAGCATTAAGCAGCAACCTTGACGCTTTGGTGCTGGGAAGATTAGGAGCAACTCGGTGGGGTTCCCGGCACCATAATCCGACTTAGATATGCGCCAAGCCTTTGGCGTTCCAAGCAACATATGTTGGTTAATGAGAGCATTATTCCTTGGATTGTTAGAATCATAGACTCCTAGAGCTGGAAGAGACCACATGGGCCATCTAGTCCAACCCCATTCCATGCAGGAAAAAAGCATAATCAAATAATCCCCGACAGATGGCCATCCAGCCTCTGCTTAAAAGCCTCAAAGAAACTCCAAGGCAGAGTGTTCCACTCCTGAACAGTTCTTAAGTTGTTCATTAGAATCTCCTTCTCTGTCATTTGAATCCATGGCTCCATTGAGTTCTAGTTTCCAGGGCAGCAGAAAACAAGCCTGGCCCCTCTTCCTTAAGGCACCCTTTTACATATTGATACACGACTCTCATCATTCTCCTCCTCTCACCCTTCTACAGAGACACTCGCTGGAACGCCTCAGCAAGCGAGAGTCCAAAAGTGGCAGGCTCAAACCCAGAACCTCAACCAATGGCTGATACCAAATGAGAGACTCCCCCCTGGGCACAGAGGACTGGGCGACTTGGAAGGCAATGAACAGACTGCGCTCTGGCACCACGAGATGCAGAGCCAACCTCAAGAAATGGGGCTACAAAGTGGAATCCTCGACATGCGAGTGCGGAGAGGAGCATACCACTGACCACCTGCTGCAATGCAACCTGAGCCCAGCCACATGCACAATGGAGGACCTTCTTGCAGCAACACCAGAAGCACTCCAAGTGGCCAGATACTGGTCAAAGGACATTTAATCAACTACCAAACTCACACATTTTGTATTTTCTCTGTTTGTTTCCTTTGTTCTGTTAGAAATGTAATATAATTGACTGGCTGCCCTGACATGAGAAAATTAAAAAAAAAAAACCCTTCTATTCTGCAGGCTAAACAGACCCAGTTCTTTAAGACGCTTCTCAAAGGGATTCCTGGTCTCCAGACCTTTGATCCTTTTAGTCTCTCTCTTCCTCTGGATGCTTTCCAGCTTTGAGTCAACCTCTCTCTTGAACGGTGAGGCCATGAATTGGACATAGTGTGTTTCCAGGTGAAGAGGTCTGATCAAAACAGAATAGAGAGGAACCAGGTCTTCCCTCAATCTGGGCACTGAACTCCTTTGTATGAAATCCCAATGTCTTTTCGAGCTGCTGCATCACACACTTGACTCATGTTCAGCTTTTTCCCCACCAAGACTCCAAGACCTTTTGTCGCATGCGACTCTGTGGTGGAGCCAAGCCTCACCCATCCTGTCTCTGTGTATGTCATTTTTCCTGCCTAAGTGGAGTATCTTACATTTCCTCTTGTTGAAATCCATTGTATTAGCTTTGACCAATCATCTCTCTAATCTGTTGAGGTCGTTTCGCATCCCGACCCTGCCCTCTGGAGTAATCGTGCTCCCTCCCAATTTGTTCCCATCTGCAAACTTGATAAGAAGCACTTCCTCTAAACCTTCATCCAAGTCATTAATAAAGATGTTGAACAGGACTGGGCTCAGGACCGAACCCTCTTTATTGCATCCAAATAGTCACTTCTTTCCAGGATGAAGAGGAGGAAGCATTGGAGAGAAGCACCCTTTGGGTTTGGTCGCTTAACCAATTCTAGATCTACCTAACAGTAGCATTGCCTGGCCGACATTGGACTAGTTGGCTTGCAAGAAGGTCATGGGGGCCTTGTTGAAGGAAGGCCTTCCTGAAATCAAGATCTGCTCCATCCACAACATTCCCTGCATCTACAAGTTTGTAGAAATCAACATTAGTTAAATACCCAAAGACCTTTAGACGCAAAGTGCATCTAAAGTATCCGTAAGGATACTAAAGTATCCGTAGGGATACCAAGGTGCTTGTCTATAAAGCTATTGTCCTCCCAACCCTGCTATATGCCTGTGAGACGTGGACTGTCTACAGACGTCACATGCAACTCCTGGAACGATTCCATCAGCGCTGCCTCCGGAAAATCCTGCAAATCTCTTGGGAAGACAGGCGGACAAATGTCAGCGTGCTGGAAGAAGCAAAGACCACCAGCATTGAAGCAATGATCCTCCGCCACCAACTCCGCTGGACTGGCCACGTTGTCCGGATGCCCGACCACCGTCTCCCAAAGCAGTTGCTCTACTCCGAACTCAAGAATGGTAAACAGAATGTTGGTGGGCAGGAAAAGAGATTGAAAGATGGACTCAAAGCCAACCTTTAAAACTCTGGCATAGACACTGAGAACTGGGAAGCCCTGGCCCTTGACTGCTCCAGCTGGAGGTCAGCTGTGACCAGCAGTGCTGCAGAATTTGAGGAGGCACGAATGGAGGGCTAAAGGGAGAAGCGTGCCAAGAGGAAGGCGCGTCAAGCCAACCCCGATCGAGACCGCCTTCCACCTGGAAACCAATGCCCTCACTGTGGAAGAAGATGCAGAGCAAGAATAGGGCTCCACAGCCACATATGGACCCACAAGAATATTGGAAGACAATCATCCTCGGAAAACGAGGGATCACCTAAGTAAGTAAGTAAGTAAGTAAGCATCTAAAGTATAGGATGAATGCAGTTTGGCACCACTTGAAGTGCCATGGCTGAATGCTATGGAATAATGGGAGCTGCAGTTTGGTGAGGCACCTGGACTCTTTGGCAGAGGAGGCTAAAGACTTTGCAAAACTACAACTCCCAAGATCTCATAGCATTGAGCCATGGTAGTTCAAGTTGTGTCAATCTGCATTCATTCTAGAGTGTAGATGCAGCTTATGACTTGCATAAGACTTTTGTGAAATACCTTAGGTCAGCAACACCGGTTCTGGCATCATGAAGTTAAGCGATGCAAGATTTGAGGCCAAGCAATTTTCTACAATTGTGCATTAGCTTCTACTTCCAAAAGTTTTCTAATTTCTTGAGTAACTTACATATACATTAGTTCTGAAATCATTTTCCCATGTTTTGCATAGAGATTGTTTTCTATGCAAAGAAAATGTATTTCTGTGCAGAAAACCTTTTTTGTACAGAAAATTATGTGTGTGCGCGTATGCATTCAACGTGTTCCTATTTGCAAGGAAAAGTATGAGATTCGATGGTCTGAATTGCACACTTATTCTTACACAAACCCTATTAAACTCCAAAAAGGAGACTGATGGTAGCCAAGAGTGTAACCAATGCTCTTGTGTATTTGTCTGAAAATCTCAGCAGCAATCGTCTTCCGAAACACAAAGGCAAAGAGTTTTGTAAAAAGCCAACAAATGTACAAAACAGTACAATGATGAGATATTTCTGCTTCCCGGCCCCCTTGTTTACCACTGTTATAGCAATTATGGAGGAAATAAAATAGGAAATGGAAAGAAAAGCACTTTGAAAAAAGGATGGAGTGAGAGAAGAGGGGAGAAATAAACCATTCTGTTAAGGCATATCATCCTATCCCTTCAGATTCCTGTCAATGGCTGTGTTAGGCAAGTTAAGGTGCATCTACACTGTGGAACGAATGCAGTTTGACACTGCTTTGATTCAATGTGACGGAATAGCGTGAATTGTAGTTTGGTGAGGCACTAGCACCATTTGACAGAGAAGACTAAAGACCTTCTAAATCTACAACTCCCAGTGCTTCATAGCATTGAGCCATGGGAATTCAAGTGGTGCCAAACTGCATTAATTGTATAGCGTAGAGGCTCTTTGAGACTTATAACCTTGTGACTGTTTTGCATTCATATTTCCATAACCACAATTAATGCCCCTGCAACCTATCTTCAGAGTTAACCAATTGAGTCCCGTATTCCTGGAAATTGTGAGAGAAGAAACTGGGGGTTAATCTCCATGATGCAATTAATGCAGTTTAGCATCACTTTAATTGCCATGGCCCAATACTATGGTTTCATGGGATGTGTAATTCCACCAGGGTTTTAGCCTTCTCTTGCAAAGAGTTTTGCTGATGCCTCACCAAACAATTCCCATGATTACATGTCCATTAAAACAGTATCAAACTGCATTAATTCTACAGTGTAGATGCACCCCTAGAGCATTCACTGACCATGTCATCTTGCAGTATCCTGCTTTCCAGCATCACAAAAATGAGGCTGGATCTACAATGCCATATAATGCAATTTGGATACATCACATAGGTCTACACTAACCATATAATGCAGTCCAAACTCATTATAGGCCAATGTAGATCCAGCCTCAGGCCTTCATGATATCTGACTGGTTCTTCTGGTGGGTTTTGGGGTTGGATCAGGAATTATGGAGAACAGCTTTCCTATCAAAGCTATGCCTCCAAAGCATAACCTTAAAGTGGTGTCAAACCACATTCATCCTACAGTGTAGATGTGTGTTCTAACTCTAACTACTTCTGCATGCTTGGCTTTTCCTGGAAGATTTCGAGCTGAATGGAGGAAGTTGGAGAAGAAGTCACACATAATATAACAACTGATTTCATTCCTAAGGCCTTCCAAAACAACAAAAACAACAACACCCTGGTGAGCCGAATGCCAGATCGGGACTTTGGCGACTCGTTTGACCGTCTCATCGCTAACATGCTGCGGAAGGGAGCCGAGCATCTGATGTTGTTAAATGTGAAAAGACAGCAGTCAAAACAGAAGAATAAGAAGAAGGAAAGAAGTTGAAACAAAAGGATGAGGAATGAGAGAGGGAGAGAGATGCTTCGCCGGATGGAATGAGAAAGCGAGGTCCACTTCGGGAGCCGGAGAAATTGCTCCGCAATGTGCAGTGAGAGGAAGCTGCGTTGTCTTCCTTTTGGTCATCTCCTCCCAGTTTTTTTCTTTCCTTCTGAAGATGAATTGTGCTTTTTCCTCCCTCCTTCCCTTTCTCCCAATCCAGGAGGCACCATGGGTTTTTCTCTATTCCGTTTGTGCGTCGTAGTTTGCGCCGCCGGCTTTCTTCAGTTCCCCCTTGATGTAGTCTTCATCCAGTTCTTTGTGGTCGCTGATCACAAACTCTTTGGCAAAATTCTGCGAAGGAAGAGAGATTTCAAACCATGTGTCAATGTATAATTTCCATCCCTTCTTGCGAGAAGGTCACACAACAGGGGTAAAAGCTTAAAAACAAGTACAGGTCCATTTCTGTAAAATGATGCATATAGAATGGCTAAGACGTATAAAAATAATTATAGCACTTGTTGGAAATGTGGGGGGAAAGTGGGCACCTTTTACCATATGTGGTGGACATGTACAAGGATGCCGGAAAGGGTGGCTAGGATGTATACAAATAGTTCTAGCGATTGTTGGAAATGTGGGAGGAAAGTGAGCACCTTTTACCATATGTGGTGGACATGTACAAGGACATCGGAAAGGTTGGCTAGGATGTATACAAATAGTTCTAGAGATAGTTGGAAATGTGGGGAGAAAGTGGGCACCTTTTACCATATGTGGACATGTACAAGGATGGCTAGGATGTATACTATTGCAGCAGATAAAAACATGCATACTACTTATAAAAATGTATTGTCGAAGGCTTTCATGGCCAGAATCATTAGGTTGTTGTGTGTTTTCTGGGCTGTCTGGCCATGTTCCAGAAGCATTTTCTCCTGATATTTCACTCACATCTTTGGCAGGCATCCACAGAGGGTGTGAGACCTCACAACCTTTGAGATGCCTGCCATAGATACAGGCGAAACGTCAGAAGATAATGCTTCTTGAACATGGCCATACAACCCAGAAAATACACAACAACCCAGGGATTCTGGCCATGAAAGCCTTCGACAATACTACCCAATAATAAAAACATTTAAAACCAGATATAAGAAGTTGCTGTAACACGCCCTAAAACATACATTATACTATAATACACTTTAAGACCACCCCTAAATACATAATGTATTCTAGTGATTTGGTTGTTGTAGGTTTTTTCAGGCTATATGGCCATGGTCTAGAGGCATTCTCTCCTGACGTTTTGCCTGCATCTATGGCAAGCATCCTCAGAGGTAGTGAGGTCTGTTGGAACTAGGCAAAAGGGTTTATATATCTGTGGAATGACCAGGGTGAGACAAAGGACTATTGTCTGCTGGAGCTAGGTGTGAATGTTTCAACTGACCACCTTGATTAGCATACAATGGCCTGACTGTGCCTGGGGCAAACTTTTGTTGAGAGGTAATTAGATGTCCCTGCCTCTTCCTCTCTGTTGTTGTGCTGTTGCAATTTTAGAGTTTTTTTTAATACTGGTAGTCAGATTTTGTTGATTTTAATGGTTTCCTCCTTTCTGTTGATTGTTGGAAATGTGGGGGGAAAGTGGCCAGCTTTTACTGTATGTGATGGTCATGTAAAAGGACACCAGAAAAGATGGCTAAGATGTATACATTGTTGGAAATGTGTGGCGGGGAGAATGGGCACCTTTTATCATACATACTGGACATGTAAAAGAGCCTAGAAATACTGGGCAGAAACACATCAGATTTTTGAATCATAGAATCATAGAGTTGGAAGAGACCTCATGGGCCATGCAATCCAACTCCCTGCCAAGAAATTGGTAAAGTTAAAATTTGAAATGAAACCTGAACTCTATTTGTTTGGGAAGTTAGATTTTCAACTTGATAAAAAATGTGAAAGGTTATTGCGATATATGACAATGGCAGCAAGAAGTATCTATGCTCAAAGATGAAATTCAAACACAAGAGGATTTGTTTATGAAAAGAAGTGAACTTGCAGAAATGGATAAACTTCTGGGTGGGACAAGGGATTTCAGATGATGGGTCAATGTATAATTTCAATCCCTTCTTTTTCTTACAGCAGCTTGCAAGAAGGTAACACAACAGGGCTCAAAACTTCAAAACAAGTACAGGTTCATTTCTATAAAATGATGCATATCAGACACTGAAAAGGATTGCTTTTTTCGTGTCAGAAGTGACTTGAGAAAATGCAAGTCACTTCTGATGTGAGATAATTGGCTGTCTGCAAGGACGTTACCCAGGATGTTTTTGATGTCTTACCATCCTTTAGGAGCTACTGGTGGTGCAATGGGTTAAACCCTTGTGCCAGCAGGACTAAAGACTGACAGGTTAGCAGTTCAAACCAGGGGAGAGTGGGTTGAGTTCCCTCTGTCAGCTCCAGCTCCTCATGCGGGGAACATGAGAGAAGCCTCCCACAAGGATGATAAAACATCAAAACATCCAGACGTCCCCTGGGCAACGTCCTTGCAGGTGGCCAATTCTCTCACACCAGAAGCAGCTTGCAGTTTCTCAAGTCATTCCTAACACCAGGGGGATGGGGACCATCCTTGTGGGAGGTTTCTCTCATGTCCCTGCTTGAGGAGCTGCAGCTGACAGGGGGAGCTCAACCCGTTGTCCTGGGATTCGAACCACTGCAGTCATTTTCATCCAGTGCAGATAAGTGACTTGAGTGTTTTGCTAGAGGTGCGTCTACACTGCAGAATTAATGCAGTTTGACACTACTTTTACTAGCATGGCTCAATGCTATGCAATCATAGAATCATAGAGACCTTGTGGGCCATCCAGTCCAACCCCATTCTGCCAAGAAGCGGGACAATCGCGTTCAAAGCACCCCCAACAGGTGGCCATCCAGCCTCTGTTTAAAAGCCTCCAAAGAAGAAGCCTTTTAGTCTTCTCTGCCCAAAATACAGGTCAATAAACTACAACTCCAAGATTCCATAGCACTGAGCTATGGCAGTTAAAGGGGTGTCAAACTGGTTCATTCAACAGTGTAGATGCACTTTGGTCTTGCTGAAACATCAGGGGAATTGATGCAAAAGAAACCAATGTCCAATTCCTCTTAAATTGCAGACATATTCATCACAGAGACAAGTGTCTTTCAGCTTGTCTTTCTTTGCTGCCATCATGTTATGCTTCTTCTTCCAGCCTCGGCTTTGCCTAAAGGATGAATGGCATCCTTTGTGTCCATCCCACAACATATGGGTATCACAAACAAGTACAGCCATTGCTTCCAGGAAGTTGAAGATGCTGCAATGCCCTGAATTGCTTCACAGAACAAAGCTGGATTTGCACAACGTTATCACAGGAACCCACAGCAAATGATGTTCTTTGCAAACATTTGCATCTTATGTGATGCATCTACATGGAAGAATTAATGCTGTTTGGCGCTACTTTAAATGCCATGTATGAATGATACAGAATCCTGGCAGTTGTAGTTTTACAAGGTCTTTCGTCTCCTCTACCAAAGAGTGCTGGTGCCTCGTCAAACTAAACTCCCACGATTCCATTGAGACATAACAATTAAAGTGATATCAAATAGCTAAATGCACCCACTATTTCCAAACTATGTTATGTCTGGATTGACTGCATTCTATGGTCAGAGTAGATCCATATCATGTAGTTCAATTGCATTATATGGGTCTACACTGATCATACAACGAATCCGGGGAGAGGCGGATGAGCTCCCTCTATCAGCTCCAGCTCCTCATATGGGGACATGAGAGAAGCCTCCCACAAGGATGATAAAAAAAACATCAAAAATCATCCGGGCGTCTCCTGGGCAACGTCCTTGCAGACGGACAATTCTCTCACACCAGAAGCAACTTGCAGTTTCTCAAGTCACGCCTGACACGACAAAAAAAATTACAATGCAGTTTGAAACTGGATTAAATGAGTGTAAATCCAGTTTATGTCACACTTGTTCTTTGCATGTTATTCCAGCATCTGGTCCCTTCCCAGACTTTATTATTATTATTATTATTATTATTATTATTATTATTATTATTATTAAAGATCGAACTGCAAAGACTCTGGCACAAACCAGTAAAGGTGGTCCCAGTGGTGATCGACACACTGGGTGCAATGCCTAAAGGTATCTATGCTATAGTACTACAACATGCAATGTACCAGCAGCTTGTATAAAGTATACTTAAGAGCAATTCACAATGCAAATCTCTAAACCAAAAAATTCCCTTATGTGGGATAAACAATTCATTCCTACAGAAAAATACACAAGTTTGTGAGTCCTTTTTGAAAACCAAACTGTAGAAGCTGTAGGAATAACTGTTTATTTCATAACAAGAAGTTGGTGAGTTGCAAAAAAAAGACTTGCAAATGTTGATTTGTCATTGATAAACTTTTGGTTTTCAAAAGTATACTTTGTACAAGCTGCTAGTACATTGCATGTTGTAATACTATAGCATAGATACCACATTCATTCTTATGATTATATAACTGTATTAGTTTTTGTTGTATAGTGGCCTCTTGCCCTTGTACTTCGGGGAATCCCTTCTCTCTATTGCAGTGCCTCAAGACCTTGGCCTGCACTTAAACACAACGGGCACTGACAAGATTACCATCTGCCAACTGCAAAAGGCCACCCTACTGAGATCTGCACGCATTATTTGCCGATACATCACACAATCCTAGACACTTGGGAAGTGTCCGACGTGTGATCCAATACAACAGCCAGTTTGCTGTGGACTCATCTTAGAATCATAGAATCATAAAATCAAAGAGTTGGAAGAGACCTCATGGGCCATCCAGTCCAATCCCCTGCCAAGAACCAGGAATATTGCATTCAAATCTCCCCTGACAGATGGCCATCCAGCCTCGGTTTAAAAGCTTCCAAAGAAGGAACCTCCACCACACTCCAGGGCAGAGAGTTCCACTGCTGAACGGCTCTCACAGTCAGGAAATTCTTCCTCATGTTCAGATGGAATCTTCTCTCTTGTAGTTTGAAGCCATTGTTCTGCGTCCTAGTATCCAAGGAAGGAGAAAACAAGCTTGCTCCCTCCTCCCTGTGGCTTCCTCTCACATATTTATACATGGCTATCATATCTCTCTCAGCCTTCTCTTCTTCAGGCTAAACATGCCCAGCTCCTTAAGCCGCTCCTCATAGGGCTTGTTCTCCAGACCCTTGATCATTTTAGTCGCCCTCCTCTGGACACATTCCAGCTTGTCAATATCTCTCTTCAATTGTGGTGCTCACAATTGGACACAATATTCCAGGTGTGGTCTAACCAAGGTGGAATAGAGGGGTAGCATGACTTCCCTAGATCTAGACAC